CTGGGTTGGTTCTGTTTTCAGTCCCAACTTCCACTGGAACCAATGGGTGTTGCAGTCCAGCCTGGTTATTCCCAGCACATACTTGGCCCTCACAGCGGGAGCTGCAGCCTAGTTGGAGCGACCCACAATAATCCCCACCAGGCCCGCCCCCTATCTTGGTTTGCCAGTATGTGTGGCAGACTAGTCCAGCCTGTCCCATATCCCATTTGGCTCTCGTATATGTCAATGGATATTGAAGCTTAGTTTCATCCAAACAGCTCAACTGTCCAGCCCTCACATATGTTATTGAGTGCCTCTCTGTATGGCCACCACATCCTCTGTCCTACTTTTCGTGCCCTCCTGTGGGAGTGGTAACCCAAGAGGGAGGAGCCCACTATAGCGAGGAGCCCATTATTTCCCTTCCAGGTCTCTCTCACTCCCGGATTATGCACTCTTCAGGTGGTTCTGGCATTTGACTTGACAGAATTAGCCCCCAGTGCCAGCTTCTGCCACCTGATGCTGCAGCTTAGCCCAAACAACTCTCACCCACTCTAATTTATGCTTGCACCAGTAGGAATAATCAGCCCAGCCTGGCTTTTCCCTGCTCTGGTCCACATGAGGCGCACAGGTGTTGTAGCCCTGGTTAGTCTGGTCTGTCCCCATCCCAGCCCACACTCTCTAGTGGGAGTAGCTGTCCGGCAAGAGAAACTCTCCTTGTTCCCCCTGCCCGCTCTGCCCCGTCCCTTCCTGGTTCTCACATGTGCTGGTTGGGTGCTGTGGTCACATCCAGTACAGGCAAACTCACCAGGGCATTCGGTATTGTGCACTGGTTTTTGTCGCAACCAAAGCTGGCCCTACCCACACTCTGTTCAGGTGTTTGGATTTGCCAGTGGATGATGTGAACTGAGTTAGCCTGGTCTGTGGCCCCTGCCTCATGCAAATGTATGCCAGTGGGAAACTTTCCATGGCCTATTCTGGGCTATTTCCTATCATGCTTCTTGCGCTTACCTGCAGGGACTGTGTCCTGCCAATGGAGTTGGCCAGGCTCCTCTGTCAGAACCTCTCCCAATGCCAGATTTTGCACATACTGGTGGGTTCCATGAGCCAGACCTACTCAGTTCACCTTCTGTCCTAGCAGGAACAGTGGCCTTTCCTGACTGGCCTTCAACCCAATCTGGTCCTTGCTGTTGGATGTTTCAGCACAGCCATGACTCATCCATACCCACATATGGCTCATACATGGCTCAGTAGGGGGTTGAGACCTAGCTTAGTCCATCCCACATCTACCCTGGTCCTCCAAGACACCAGATGGTGTTTGGGTCTGGCCCAGCTTGGTGCATCCAGTCCCAGTTCCACACTTGTGCCAAGGGAGACTACAACTGTATCCTGATCAGAACGCAGCCCCCATTCCAGCACACTGCTGGGACCTCCACTCAGCCAGTGTGTCCTCTTAGCTCCTGAACTGGACCTGTTCCCAGCCATAGGTCATGCGCATGCCAGTGGTTGCTCTGACTTAGCTTAGCTCAGCCCCTCACCTGTCCCGGCTTCTGCCTTAGACACTGTGGCTTAGTGTCCCTGACTCACGCAGACCAGTAGGTGCAAGAGCCTAGCTCAGTATGACCTGTGCTGCCTCCTGGTTTTTAGCTTCACTTGTAGGTCAAGGCTTGCTTGGTCCTGCCCAGTACATTGCTCTCCATTACCAATTCACACAATGGCCAGCAGTTGGTTGGTGCTACTTTGCCCAGCTTGTCCGACCCCCAGGTCTGGACCACATGTTCACCAGCAGGAGCTATGACTCACCAGGGGAGTTTCCCAAGTTCCTCCACTTGATCCACTCCCAGACCCAGTTCTCATACATGCCAATGGGTTTTCGGCCACTGCCCGGCACAGTCTGGCCTTCCATTTGGCCTTGTATGAGCTGGTGAATGTTGCAGCCCCACCCACCCCACACCCTATTCAGGATGCACATTTGGGTGCTTCTATCTTGTCCAGTCCAGGCTGTTGTGGATTCCTTTGCCTCTGATTGATGGCAAGCTCCTTGGTGACATCTAGCATAGTCCATCACCACCCCAACTCTTGAGCTAACCAATGGGGCTAGAATTTCCACAGGGTGTGGCCCACACATCGCCCACAGAATCTTCCCCCAGATATGGTTCTCGAGTGCTAGTTAATGTCATGGCCCTGCCTAGTGTGACCCGTCAGCTGATCCATCATTATGTCAGGTAATAGGATAGCCTGCTTGACAAGCCCCGACCCTCAGCTTTTGCATGAATTGTTGTTCGGTGCTTAGCATTGTGAAGTGATTACAAGTTCTTCAAAGGAAGAGTTATTGTCATTGGAAATCTTTAGGATTGACTCACATTCCAGAATTACTGTGGGTTCAACCTGGAGCTACCTAAGCAGCGATTCAAAGAACCAAAACCCCAGAGCTCCCTGGCCGGGAGGCCAGCAGGCAGTGCCTGGTGCCAAATGGCACACGGGCTGCCTGGGGACAGCTCACCACGTGCATGTGGTGGCTGGAGTTGGGATCTAAGCAAGATGGTCTGTCCTATGATCCACCAGCAACCATGAGGCTGCTGGAAGTTTAAATTCCCAGGGCCAAGGTCTTGCCTCTCCCCAATCCCTTCCACCACCCATTGAGGGTGGTGGGTGGACCCCTGACCTACACAGTCATGGAGACCTTCCCCCTTCGATTTACTCACCCTGAAGGTAGCAGCCCTCAGAGCCCAAGCAGGCCCGGGGACAACTCGTGGTGACTGAAGTTGGTATCCTAGCAAGATACCACGTGCTGAGGCCCCCTAAAACATAAATAAATCTTAAAAAAAATTACCTGTAGAAAGACTTGGATGCCAGCTTTGAAGATTTATACTAAGCTGAGTCTCACTGGAGCTTAGGGCAGCAGTGGTTCGAGAATCCAGCCATTATCAGCCACATTCACATATATCACCTCTAGTTTTAACAATCTGATATTGTAGTCCACATGGTTTTGGGCAGTTAGATATCTCAGATTCATGTGATTATTTCTCCAAAAAAATAAGTTGCAAACCAAAGAGAGTATGGAAGTATTACATCCATGCATTTGAGGAACTATGATTGTGAAACTGAGACATTTTCAACTATTTGTGTCTGTTTCTTTTCATGTCGTCCCCCTTTCTTAACTGGGTTACTGTTTATCTATTTATTTAATTTTATAAACTGCTGAATATAAAAATGAGTCTAGACATGAGAAGCTTAACAGTACCCTATAAACATTCTAATGTGTGTAGCAACAAGTTGTGTATAAACTAAAATTGAAAAGTCAATCAAGTATTCACAGGATGTGGTTAAGAACTTGCATTTTTCATGTTTTATAAAGTGCTGGTAATATCAAGGAATAGAATTTTTCTGTGAGCAAGTGCTTTTTCTTCAATTGCATGTCAAGGTAATTTTCATTTCGTGATCTTGTCTTTTACTCAGATGCCTCTCTGCCTATCAAGATACCTGTTACTGGCAAAGCTCAATGGGTTCTTTCCTCAGTTTAACGCAGAAATAAAAAGCTGAGAAAAGCAGAAGACGGGTATAATTTGTAAGTGAACAAGAGAATGTGAAAGGATGAGGAAAGGGGGCAACTCCTGAGAGGAGGCCAGGAGATACAGTGTCTCCTGAAGGGAGAGAGGGAGAGACACTGGCTTTCTGGAAGTGTCTTGCAAATCTTTAAAATACTGTGTTGCTCAGCTGGGTTGGCAACCCTTTGTGGCAAGCCAACCAGAAGGCTTACCTATGAAGACCTTCCTTATTGGTACTCCATAATCAGTCAGGAAATGGATGGGCAATGCCTGTGCTTTCCACACAAAAGTGTTATTTTTGTGGTGACGTGGTGACTGACAAACAGTGAGGTGACTGACAATTGGTGAGCTTTTCTCAAACTCATTTATCCTTCTCATTGAAGTGTCAGAGTTGTCAGGGTTTAAGCAACACACTGTTTGTTAATACATGAGGTATGTGCACACACACATGGTGCAGTGAGATGGTTGCCCGGGGGAATGACCCCACGGGGCTTGCCCTAGACCTGACACAGGATTTAGATGGCTTGGTTAGTCTCACTCTAGAAAGCCTTCTTCTGAGAACCAGTCTCAGAATCTGCAATCATCAAAATGTATTTTCTGTTTTTCCTGGCCTATGCTTTGATAGCACAGACATCTATTTTGTTTCTAAGTGAAAGATTAGAATAAAAAAAGAACAGTTTTCATGTGCTAAATATAATTGATAACATTCTGATTTCCATAACTCTGCCACCTAGGAAACCAAAACTAATTTCCACCTGGTGATCTGGTTACAAACTAAGTATCTTGATGTGTCTGTGTAAGTGAAAAAACTCATAGGATTTATTTAGCCTGGGCCTTAGACCTGGCAGACTAGCTATTGAGGTGTATGTCAAAAGTAGAGGAATCACTGGGAGCTTCGAAGGAGAGGATAAGGAATCAATAAAGTCTTAAAATTGAACTTAGAGTATGAATATCTCATGAATGAAGGGCAGCAGAAAATGAAATATTTTCACCTCTAACAGGAAAAATAGCGCCAGTTAGTCACTTGAAGACTGGATCAGTTTTGCCATTATGATTTTGGCCTGCCTCCCAGAAAAGAGGAATTAGGAAAACAGAGCTGAGACTCCACCCACTAGGGTTCTTAGCTTTCGATTTCCTCAGCAGGAGAGACAAGACTTGTTGCTTCTCGTACTTGCATTAGTCATCATAAAAGATCAGAGCTGAGTTTTCTCTACAATGATTTTGTTGTTACAAATATCTGTAGTTAAAAGGAGCTACATTAGGACTTTTAAGATGCTCTTCAACGAAGGGTAGAGAGTGGGATGAAGGAGGTTGGACAAGATCCCAATCCAAAACCCGGCACAAAGGCACACACTACGAACACCATGGATCACCAAAGTATGTGATATGAACGTTCTGTCATCTTCTCAGGAAACAACAAGTCAATTAAATACTGAAATAAAAAGTGGTCAGAAAGAAAGGCTTTTGAATTCATAAACTGTAGTTGAACTTTTAATATATAACAAGAAACTTGTACATGTTTATGATGCACAATGTGATATTTAATACATCTCTATACTGAATTCATCTCCTTCAACATGTAATGCTTCTTCTAATGTGCTTGTCTCAAAAAATATACTTATCTTAATTCTATGTTCCATGAGCTTTATAAATGGATGTTATCATTGATTAACTATTTAGAAGACAGCCTCAGTTTCAACAGTAAGATCTTCATATAAATGACATTGACTTGGAGAGTATGTCATTTCCTGTTCAGGAGTCTGGTTTAAATTGGAGTCCATGGGTGTATTCTTGCATTTTTTTCCTTTGATGACCTTGAAGAAGAGATAAAAGACACACTGAAATCACAACAATGTGCAAAGCTCAGCTTTCATGCCCAACTACCAGTTTTTCCCCACAGGCTACACAGGCTCTTCTCTCAAGAAGGGCTCTTTCTCTCATTCATTTTCTCTCACAGCACCTTTTGAGTGACACATTTGTCATCATCTAGAGCCTGAAAAGAGAGGTTTGTTTTTTACATCTGGTATTTGAATTCAGTATCCAGCTGTTTGTAAAGAACCAGATTTCTTCAAGTAAGATCAAAGGAATGATTAAAAAAAGAGAATAATTTATGCCATCCATGTGAAGCACTGACTGTGTAAGAAAAAGGAAAATCGTCAATATAAGGCATTGTGTTCTCTATTCTATTGCTTAGGATTAGCAGGTGGATATAAAATACAAGGAATCTTGCATTAGGACTTCTGAGAATTAGAACAACTAATATGTGTGTGTGTGTGTGTGTTTGTGTGTGTATGTGCGTGTCTGAATATAGGAATATGTCAGCATTGAATCATTTGAATCAACACTTGAATATTGGGACTTAAATTTAGCTTTGATTTGTACTATCAAGAATACCATATGCAGGTCCAGTGCTGTGGCTCAGTGGATTAAGGCAGCCAGTACCTGCCTATGCCAGCATCCTGTTTAAACACCAGCTCAAGTCCTAGCTCCAAGTCTCTGATTCAGCTGCCTGTGTATGAGTTCTTGGACCCTTGCCATTCACATGGGAGACACAGATAGAGTCCCTGGCTCCTGGGTTCATCCTGGCCCAGCTCCAGCTATTGCAGCCATCTAGGGAATTAACCAGCAGGTAGAAGATGTTTCTCTCTGTCTCTCCTCTCTGTAACTCTTCCTTCCAAATCAATAAAATGAAACTTAGAAAACAAAGACAAAAGAACCTCACAGTAGACTTGTTTAGATGTGACTATGTGAGTGTTTTTGAGTATCAAAGACATCACAATGCCATGTAGATTGTGTCTTAGCTTTCTCTTGTGAGTTGTGATGTGCATCTCATTAGAGAATAGTACTATTTGATTTTAGATACAAAAATCCAAGAGACTGGGACCCTTTGGTTATTTGTTTCTATCATGAGATATTTGGCTCCTTTTCCCCAAGAGCTCTATTTTGATGCTATTGATATGTATTTCCCATATGAAGTTTTCCAGCCACTCCTAAATATACATCAGCCTGTTTACATGACTCCATCCCACTGCCTACTCTTACTCCTTTTGCATAAGGACCCGCCTCCTGGGAAAGACATCCTCATCTGAATCTCAATCATAGCATGGACTGGTTGTGTGGTAGGGCACAGTACTTAGTTTTATTGACCATCAGGATCTATACTTTTGCAATGCGGGTAATGATTACAGCTCCATCATTGTATGAGTTCCAAGCACACATTGAGTGCTCCACAGAGGATTTCTATTATCATATCATCATTATTTACTTCAGACAATTCTTTCAAGTGCATAACTTATCATGTATCCCTAGACTCAAAATATAACAGACACACATGTGCAATCTATAGGACAAACAAAGTTTTTGTCCTAATTCTGTATCTCTAGATCAATGTAAAGCTGTATCCTGGATACTTTACAGAATGTCAGCTTGTCCAGAACAGAACATGTGTTTTCTTGTACCTTCTGGAATTTCTCCAATGCTTCCCAAATCTATTTAAGTATTTTAAAATTCAGGACAACCGTTGCATTAATCTTAAGCCTATGTGAATATTTATTCATTAACATCTCTTAGAACTCATCTGCTGATGGCCCAAATGATTGGGCCCCTGCTACACATTTGGAAACCCAAATGGAGTTTCTGGCTCCTGGCTTCTGAGTTCCAGACCTGGATGTTCACAGCATTTGGAGAGTGAACCAGCAGATTGAAGATCAGGTCCCCCTGATTCTCATTGCATTTCAAAATATTATAAATTAATTTGCAAAAACTAAAACAAAATAAAAAAAATCACTGCTTAGTAATAAGTGTAACACTATTGCTTGAACTCTCCTTATATTTGCTCCCCAGATCTAAACATAAGAATTCATCTTTTGCAAGCTCATTTTTCTGTCTAGTTCTCACCTTAATGAAACTGTGAATTCCAGATTTCAGCTTCATAGTCTTATTCCTGATTTTCAGTTGAAAGCAGAAGAGGTGAAGTGTATCACCTTCATCACATTGCAGGTTGTAGCATTGTCCACTTCCCTCAACCTCCATCTTTCCTGTTTTATCTTCTATTTCATAAGTTGTGGTCTTAATTCTCACTGTTTTCTAAAAAACAAAATATTCAGCTCCTGTCATATTTGAGAATCTAAAAACATAAGCAATCAATTACAGGTACAGACATATATGTGGCTTTGATAAAGTTTCTCTAATTCCTCCTCCTCCTCTTCTTCTTCTTTCTTATTCAAGTATTTTTCTGCACCAGAATTCTAGAATGAGAATGTTTTCTATTTTCCATGCTTCCTTCAGATGAAATGTTTTAACTTCTTCTAAAGGACCTGGCATCAGAGGAATTATGACAAGTTGGTAGATTTCTTTGGCCCCTCTTTTTATGCATAAGTTAATGAAAATGTGTTACTGTTATGAATTCACTCAACATATTATGGGGAATTTATTTAACAAGCAATGTTCCAGTACTTCAGTAATTCCTTTTTAATCTCTTCACTGACATACTGATTTATGTATCTCAAGTTACATGATATGGTATTTCATCTGCTACCCTTATCAATTTATAGCAACATTTAGAAATATGATCTCTTGAAAAGGTAAAGGTTATAAAATGAAGATGCTACACTGAAATAAAGATATATAGTTATGAAGCAGTAAGTTATATAATTGAATAAATTCATAAAAGTTTATGAAGTTTTGCATTGATTGAATGTATCATATAAATAGCATGATTGGGGCAGTGAGATGTTAACCAAAATTTCTATTTTTCTATGCTTGTTTTTGGTAAATGGAAAGGTTACAAAAATGCTAATTATTGTGACATAAAATATTTCTTAGTTGTTCCATAAATCCTTCTTAAACCAAAAATTAATTGAATAAGCAGACATTGTAATGGCTAGATCGTTTGCCGAAGTATTGTATAAGTGTGTGTATCCAAGAGCAAGTCATGAAATCTGTTTATTATTATGAGTACATACCATAAACAGAATTCTGCATTAGTGAAATCAATTCTTCAGGAGAAAAAGAAAATGATGATTATACAGTTGCAGTGGTGCTCAGGAAACATGCTATTTAGCATCAACATACTGTAGGCATACCTTTGCTGGAGTTAGGTTTCTTAGTCAATATATTTTAGATAATTTACACAAAGGGTGTCTGGGGACGCTGAATACAACAGACCACCTAATCCTATTTCTTATTGTGTGGGAAAATTTAACTATGTTTTTATGCATAAGACAATATCTTGAGTTTTAACATTCAGTCAAAACTCAAATGAGTCCCAATACTCAGTACATAGCTTGGCAGAAACAGCAAAAACCAGACCAAACTAAGCCAACAACAACAGCAGCAGCAAAACGCAAACCAAACCCTCCCACCTCAACCCCCTCCCCCCAAATTGTGATTACCTTGCTCAGCTTGAATGACCCATACACTATTGTTCCTGTTGTTTGTCTTTGGAGTTCTTTAATTTGGGAGCTTGTAGTTGCTCTACGCTTAATTTCTTTGGGGACCTCTATCTTTTGATCAGGACTGGCTTTAGACACAGATGATGTCTCATTTATCTCCAGGATTCCTTTTTCTTTGAAGTAATTGGAGATAATAATGACGTTATCTTTCATGAACATCTCTTTCAGTCTGGTGTCAAACACCTTCACTTGGAAAAGCTCAGTCTCAGTAGCCACTGTTGCATGAAACATTTTGCCTTTCTCGTCTTTTGAAATCTCATATTCAAATGGAGCTGTTGCTTTCAGGACCATCACTGTTTTGGGGTCCTTTTGTTGCTCCCTTTCTCTGGCAGCCGACTTCCGGCAACTTTTCTGTGTCAAACAGACAGAAGAAAATAAACTTAACACTTTGGGGCAGAGAATGCAAAGTCATTTTCCTATGAGAGAAAACTCAGTAATAATACTGGTTCCAGTATTATCCATGTCTTTTCATTTGGATAATTGGTTATAGACATTTTCTTAAGTTTCTAAAATAAACATGTTTCACTTGTGCTAAAAACAAAATAAACAATGAAAGCCTGAACGTGAGGCTGAGTGTACGAGGGAATATTGGATTGCACTTTGAATTGCTTGTTGTGACTTTCTCACTGTGATTCTGCAATATTTTCCCGTAGTACAGATGTCAGGGAGGAAAAGACTTCATTCTCTGGAATGAGAAGCATTGACTTTTCCATGTGTTATCAGACAGACTTTTGTGTCACATAAAACAGTAGAGTGCCAAATCTACTCTGAAGGCAACAGAAAACAAGAATGAACCTGAAGGTTGAAGCTCCAGCCCACGGCCTGTCATGTAAAGCTGCTTTTGTGTAGTTTTACACATTTTTTCACTCAATTTTTAAAACTTCTACACAATTTTTCCTAAATCCTTCAATTCTCCGTTTTTATCTTCTACTTTGTCTGTTGCTAATTTTATAGATGGCCCTTTATTCTTGTGAAGTTTTATTTTAGTGCTTCCAGGTACTGACAAGAGGGTCTGGTCTACCTGGTATCACAGGACAAACAGGACAGCCATACTCTTACAATACACAGTGAAGTGGGACACACATTCAATAGTTTATAGTTGTCAGAACTGTAGGAGGACAACCGATCAGATCTGTAAGAAAATAATTGGTTAAAGAGAGGACGTTGGGAATCCTTGCCTGTGTGGAGCCAGAGCTAGTTGTGATTCTGCTGGAAAGACCCTGGGAGCAGTTACTATGGAAATGAACAGGCATGAAACTCCTTCATCCTCAGATAGTGGATTATCCTCAGATAGTAAATTAGATAGATGAGATAGTAGAGTAGATAGATGAAATAGTAGATTAGATAGTAGATAGTGGATGAAAGAGAGGTGGGGAACAGAAATGAACAGACTGAGGAAAGGAACCTGCTAGATAAACAAATTGTGTAGGAGGAGACTCCTTGTTACTGTTGAAAAGTAAATTCCTCAAACACCCCTCCCTGATGCCTACATGATCACCTGTCTTTAAAATGTCTGATGCTGTCAATGGACTTCGGCTATTGACCATCAATTAGTAGTCCACATGTATTCTTACCAACTCCATGTACCAAGTCCATTGTTGCTAGACAGTGAATACATAACTGATAGGAAAAAATGAACTAACATTAAAACTCATTTGCAGGAGTTTCAAGAATGGATTGCATACTGATATTGGAATCCACAGGGTGGGTAGCTTTGGCCAGAGTTTATCAGTCAGCTTTTTGAAGCTTTAGCTAATATATCTGAAAGACTGCTTAGTAAGGCAGAAGGCTTCTTTTGATGTAAAGGTTAAAGGCTCATAATCCAGTGAGTATACTGGGGAGTGGAAGCCATACACAGGACGAGTGAGCCAGGGTACAGAGAGAGAGGGAGAGAGAGAGAGAGAGAGAGAGAGAGAGAGACAGGAAGCATGCTGCTGTGTACAACCATCCCTCTCACTTGAACTGCCCTTTCAGAGCAAGCCTCCAGTGACCTAAAGATCTTCAACCAGGCCCACCTCTCAAAACATCATAATGAGAAGAATTGCTGATCTTTAAAACATCAACCCGTTGGCATTAATGCAAACTCTTAGCACAGGAGTTTGAGTTCCAGCATTTTCGTGAATTGGGAGGGCCAAATTCTGCTCAAGTCATAACACAGAGCAGATATGATGTAGAAATTTACAATGAAAGGAGCATGGTGAGCATTGCAGAAATTTAATGTGTTTGTGAGGAACAGGTAGAGATGCGAGAATTGGGAAGAGGTGGTGATGTGCTCAGTGTTGTATCTGTTTGTACTGTGCTGGACACTACACCTAACCCTTTCCCCAGCCACCCTGGAGCAGCATGGGGCAGGAATCTTTGAAGAGTTAGAGATGATGTCAAATTCATCAAGCATTTCTGTGGAAGCAAAGTATAATGTTGTAAATTCTCAACATGCACATTTGATTCACTACTTAAGTACTGTTCTTTTTAAGTAGAGGATGGATTGAGTGGGAATTGGAAGAAAGAATTCTCCCATTTCAGGTTGAAAAGGACGAAGGAAAGGGAGCAGAGGAAGATCTTACCTTAGTGGAAGGAGTGTTTGGTGTTGATGATGAGATCTGTGGAGGTGGGACAGGGTCCGTGGCTGTGGATGTACTGGGTTCTGCAACACTGGGAGGGCAAGCCTGCTCACCAGAGACCTGATTTCTTTTGGCTCCAGGATTTTGTCTGATGGTTTCAGGTGTTTTCTGAAAATGGTTTAATTTTCTTGTTAGTAGTTTCCAGTATTAAAATGAATTTAAAGAATATTTTCATTACTGTATTAGGTAGTAGATTTATTCTATCTAAACTGTTTTCTTAAATATAGAGGGCTATTCATTCCTTCACTAGCGGCTTCATAACAAAGGCTAAATTTGGACATATCTTTCCATTAACTACCTTTCTGAAATCTTGTGATTGTCTTTGTCTCAGAATTAGGAAAAGTATGCTTGGGAGTGGCCTGGTGGTGCAACAGGCTAATCATCTTCTCTGTAGCACCAGCTTCCTGTATGGGCACAGGTTCCTATAGTGGCTATTCCATTTCCAATCCCATTCCCTGCTTTTGACCTAGAAAAACAATAGAAGATGGCCCAAGTCCTTGAGCTCCTGCACCCATCTGGGAGACTGAGAAGAAGGTCGTGGCTCCCAGCTTTGGATCAACACAGCTTTGACAACTGCTGCCTTTTGGAGAGTGAACCCATTGGATGGAAGGCCTTCTCTTTCTTTCTTTTTTTTTCTCTCCTTTCAAATAAAAAATAAATAAATCTTCTTTTTTTTAAAAAACAAAGAGTGCGTTTTTCTGAAGATAGGCAAGGTGTTTTCCTGTTGAATATCTCCCTAGTAGAGATGAAGCTATCATATTTATGTAACACGTATTTTCATGATATGGTTTAAGTCCTTGGCTCAATGCCTTGTATAAAGCTGGTTGATTATTATGCAATTTGATAAATCTGAGACTATGGGGCAGCCATGTCAGTATTTTCTGTGAGACTTTCAGCCTGCTTCTCATCGCGAGGCTTACCTTAGCTGATGCAGTCTTCTTCGCTCCTTGAGTGCTGGTAATAGTTCCTGTGGCTGGTGCAGGTGTAGCATCATTCATTCCACATGGCTTCATTTTTTTCGATGGTGGTGTTTCTTTTGCTGATGTGCGTTTATTTTTCTTCATAACTAATCATTAAAAGAAAAAAGAAGCTCAGAGCAGGTGGTCTAGGGCAGTGTGGGTAGCTCCTACACTATTTCGTCCCACCTCCAGGCGATGAATCTAGCTATGCTGGTGTCAGCCTCTATTGTACTGACTCAACCAGCAAAAGGTGGTCCATGGTATCAAGACAGTCAGAAGTGCTGTTTCTTGCTTTTGGATTTTTGGCTCCTGTGCTATGCAATGAACACATCCTTCCCATGCACTTCAACACTTCCTCAGTCCTGATTTCCTGTCATCTCCTATGACACCTTTGAGATTTTTGTTGATTCTGACAGGTCATATTTTCCAAACAATCTACACAAATTACATAAACCAGTAAAAGAAAATGAAAGTATCTTCAAAGAGCTATTGGAAAATGCATAATGAAAAAAATTCATGAATTTTATGTTTTTAGTTGCCCCAAATAAGCTTATTTCAATTCTAGTTCTTAATGCACATTTGGAATTAGAAAAATACGATGAGTTGTCAACTTGTTGATATCTGAAGCAGCAAAAAGGCCATGGCCATTGAGTCATGAATTGGGAAAGAGATTTATCAACCCTGATCAAGGTGGGTTTCAGTTAAAGTTACAGACGGGGCAGAGAGGGTGGCAGGATAATAGCAAGGTCTGTTCCCTTCCCCTCCTTACTTTTTGACTTCTCTGTTTGCAGCTCTTTAGCAAGATCTTTAAGTTCTTCTATATCCTTGAATACTTTTATTAGTTTGCTCAATCCAGCATCAACAGGGAACTTCTCTGCCATTAAGTCGGCAATCTTAATTCTGTCGCACTTGTCTTGCATTTCCTTAGTCATTTTTAAATCTGGTGCCAGTATGAACCTAACTGTATGAAACTGTTCAGCCCGGATGCGATTTAATCCTTTCAGCAGAACAACCTTCCTGTATTCACTTTCCATCTTTTAAAATATAGGTGGACCTACAAGAGAAAAATAAACTGTTGTGTTATATATCCAGATAATTTCAAGAATGAGACCGCTTTTTCTGAGTGAACCAGGCCAGAGTTGGTCACAGGGTATGTGTCTAGCAAGCAGGAGCTTAATTTTTTAAAAATTAATTACATTGCATTATGTGACACAGTTTTATAGGTACTGGGATTACCCCTGCCCTTCCCCAATCCCTTCCCCCAAGGTGGATTCCTCCACCTTGTTGCATTACCACAGTTCAAGTTCACATGAGATTCTTTCATTGCAAGCATATACCAAACATAGAGTCCAGCATCTTATTGTCCAAATAAGTTCAATGGCTTATTGGGGAGACCATCTCTGGTCAGAAAGTAGAGCCGGCAGAGTATCATCCCGATTAATTAAAAGCCCCAACAGAATATCAGTAACAATTTATAACGTTATGGAATTAATTGACATAGTATTGAGTAACTAACATGTTAAAAAAATAAATACAAGTTCTTTACCACATCCTGCGACTCCTTCATTGACATTTCAATTTAAGTTTATCTACAACCGGGTTCTATACACCTTAAAATGGCTATAGATTACTATCAGCTGTGTCGTGTCTATTTTCATTATAGTATTTAGCAGTTTATAGCATTGAAGCATGATTTTGCTGAACCTGGCTTTATTTTGGGTGGTCTAGACTGGCTTATAACTCTAACAAGATGTATGTCAATAGTTCAGGTGCAGAACAGTTTTAGGAGCAGTGTGCAGAGAAATCTTCAATAGCCTAGTGAGGAGTAACTAATCTTTGTGTCCCACCTAGTAAGGCATAAGTGAATCCACGCTGACCATTTCCTGCGTGTTTCTAAGCTTTCCTTGTTGTTCTCTATCTATTCTAGAGTTTTTGTTTGTTTGTTTGTTTTGAGGGGTTTCTGGTCGATCCTGATGGTTATTGCCAGAGAGGGTGGGGACCCAAATTTAGAACCAAGCGAGGACCAGAGAAAGCTCCCCTCCCTAGTCACCCAAGGAAGTTTATTCTTCTTCTGTTTCTGTGGACTACTCAGGGCTCCTGGCTGTTGTTCTGATGCCCTTGGATCCTGCAAGGAAGGATTTGGACTTCTTTCATCCCATGTGGTAGACCCAAGCGGGAGTGGATGACCTCAGAGTTCTTGCCATCTGGAGGCACTCCAATTCCCAGTGGTCTCCTTGGCAGTTGGAATGTAGTCCTTGGTGCTCATCCTGATAGTGCTTGGTGAGAATCTGGGAATCTTCAGGGTTGGGATACTAGCCTCCTCTTGTCCTCCAAGCAAGGACTTAATGACTGAGTGCATCATTATGGCAAAAGCTAAGTGCTACCTGAAGAAGATCACACATGTTCATGTAACTGAGTTGAGTCTGGAGTAGTTGTGGTGGAAGGATGTCTGGGAAGAGAAAATTTCCGGAGTTCCTAAAAGTATAGACTTAGAAATCTTTAACTTCATGGTCCTACTTTGCATTTTTCAGATGGCTACACCTGTCCCTGAGGTCTGCATGTTGATTCCTGACTCATCCGAAATTTACTATCACTGACTTAGCAGATACATAACACAGATTGAAGCTTCTCACTTTAAGCTGAGAAATGCCATGGTAGCAGAGTTCCATGAGAGAACGGAGATCCTTATCAATTTAACTGTTCTCTACTCAATATTCATGAACATTTTTCCCTTGATATGAAACAATATCCTTTCAATCTTCAGTGCCCATATGACTGTCCTTTTGCTGGACTTTAATCTACTCCCTAATAAGAGTCAAAGCATTTATTGACTAGCATGTTGTGACATGTATTTTCCTCCTTCTAAACTCAATCTTTTTCTTCTTCAGTTGTTTCCAGAATGCCAGCTATACCTATAATCTACATTTGTACCCTCCTTGAAGCAACTAAAAATGTTCACTGTCATTGGAAAATTTCTGCTATTTTGCCTGACATAGAATGCCATAGGTTTCTCAAAGGCTTTGCCAGCCTAACAAATTTTGAAACTGGGCTTTTATATTTAACCAAAATGACTTTTAAAATATGATGGTCTATTGATCATTTTCTGATTCTGGCTCACACAATTAAAGTCAAGGGCAGTAACATTAAAACAGCTACCCACTGATCTTTCATTAAAAAATAAATGCCTAATCCCCCCCCCAAAAAAAAAGAAAAGAAAAGAAATAATAAAGAAACCTAGTTGAAAAATAAAATTCATTATGATGGTAATATGGGTTGGGTATATGATGTCCCCCAGGTGCTGGCATGGTGGCAGTCAGCAGTCTAATCGTCCACCCTGGCATTCCATAAGAGCACCAGTTCCAGTCTTGACTGCTCCACTTCTGATCCAGCTCTCTGCTTGTTGGCCTGGCAAAGCAGCAGAAGATGGTCTAAGTGCTTGTGATCCTGTGCCTCCTGGCAGAAACTCCTGGCTTTGGATCAGCTCAGTTCTGGCCATTGTGATCATTTGGGAAATGGAAGACCTTCTGTGTCTCTCCTTCTTTCAGCACAAAGTACGACATTCAAATGAAAATAAATATAAATATTAAAATAAAAATGTCCCCCAAAGTTCATTGTATTGAAGGTTTACCAAATGCAGAGTGGGGCTTTGGGTAGGTGTAGAGTTTTCAGGAGTTGGGCCTAATGAGAAGTCCTTAAATCATTGAAGCTGTACATTCAGAAGGCAACCCTTATTCACTTCTCAAATACCTACAACAACCTAGGGGAAGCCAGGTCAAAATCAGGAGCTGGAAACATGCTGATGGCACCCAAACTCAAGCATCCACTTGCTGCCAGGGTGTGCATATCAGTAGAAAGCTAGAACTAGGGGCAGAACTGAAACTGGAACCCAGGCACTCTTGGGTGTTCCAGCAACAACTCAAGTTATAGACCAAAGACGTATTGCAATTGGCTGTCTTTTATGTAAAAAACAAAACCCTAAACAAGCAGGAATAAGTTAGGAAATGGGTAGACAAGGTCAGGTGAATATAGTGAGGAGAGATGGTATTAGGTTTTATTAAGTTATATGTGCTTGAGGGGAAACTAGAGATAAAATTCAAAATATTGGCAAAGGAGATACAGAAAGGAACACAGAGTAAGTGCTCCGATTTGAACAAATATAGCAAGACTTATTTAAGTTATATCACTGGATTTAATTGACATTGATTGCTAGATTCATTAAGAAATAGCTTTTCCAATTATCATCAGACTGGAACTTTCACTATTTCATAATACTATGATTAACTTCAGAAGCATGCAACAGTTCTAATTATTATCACTTCATATAATTATGTCTCTTATTTTGTTAATGTAAACAATAATAGGTAGCATGCTTCTTTCTCTTGTTGGTCTATTTTAGGGTTTTCGAAATAAAATTGAAAAGGTAAGTCTATTTGGGAGTAAAGTTTTTTTGAGATTTAACAAAATTTTTCATAATGTACACTTTCTAAGAATGTTTTGAGGTGGCTGGCTTGCAAATTCCAATTTTTGGCCACAGAGTAAACTCTGTTTGACCTCTGAATTCTATAGATTCTTAGAATTTATATATATATAATGTTAATGTTTAATACAGGAAAAAGCTAATTAAACTTTTGATTACATGGTTGTCATGTTTTATAAAGCTGACATAATCTCATAATAAATGCAGCTTTATGGCCTGATTGTTTTTTTACTTACTTTTTTTAGTGACACTTAAGGTTTTTAAAAATTACTAGCAATGTGGAGAAAGAACAGATTTCATGCATTTCACAGACACCGTTAAAAGAAGATACTGCACTTCCCTACTCATCCTGATTTAATCTCCCATCCTTTATTATCTTCTTATTTTTTCTTTCAATTTTTTTGCAGTAACAAACCTTTAATTTATTTTTTAAAGATTTATTTATTTTTATTGGAAGTCAGATTTACAGTGAGAAGGAGAGACAGAGAGGAAGATCTTCTGTCTTTTGATTCACTCCTCACGTGGCCACAATGGCCGGGGCTGAGCTGATCTGAAGCCAGGAGCCAGGAGTTTCCTCCAGGTTTCCAACATGGGTGCAGCGACCCAACGCCTTGGGCTATCCTCTGTTGCTTCCCTTGGCCACAAGTAGAAAGCAGGATGAGAAGTGGGGCTGCCAGGATTAGAGCTGGTGCCCATATGGGTTCCTGGTGCATGCAGGGTGAGGACTTAAGCCAGTAAGCTACTGTGCCAGGCACTTAATTTGCGGTATAATCACAGGCTTAATGTAAAAAAGTCGAAAGTATGAAGACTACAATTCCACAGAAATGTAAACCAGGGATATAAAAATTAGTCAAATCTTAAGAAGTAAAATTCATTCTTATACTTAATTGCTGTCTTATATTAACTACTGCAAAGAGGAGAGAACATTCAACATTTGTCTTTTGGGAATTGCCTGTCTTTTGCAACGAAACAGATACCAGTGGAGACCATTATGCTTAGTGAAATGTTATGATAGTTTTTTTAATCTCATTATGTAGCCTGAAATTTTATCTCATCTCAATAACTGAAAATCAGTAAAAATAGGTAAAAATCTGAAAAAAAATTGCCAACATGGCAAACACATTCATGAAGTTAGCATAAACATGAAGTTCATAAAATACTTAAGGAAATTTTAAAGTTACATGTAAATTAAAAACTTTTATTATGCAGTCATAAATTATTTTATAATTTCCTACAAATTCTCACCCTGCCTCTGTCTTGAACAAAGCAGGAGGAACCAAAAAAATGGCTGCCTTTTATACAAAATGGAGTACAAAATGAAACTCAAGTGAAAGACACTAGCACAGTTATATTAAGACATATTTGGATAACTATGTGAAATATATGCTTTCTACCAAGTATGTGTGCATGTTGCAATATTACGATGATTTTCCTTAATATACCTTTATATTCAGATTTCCTTTTTGTTTCAACATCAGAGTCACCAAGTTTAAGTTGTGAAAGCTAAAGTTTTCTAGAAGTCAACTTCTGTCAATACATGCTCAGAACATTTATTTTAAAATAACGGGATAATAGAAACACATTTTCCCTCGTTCAGGCCTCAGCTGTGATGGAACAAAAGATACCTCTTGTTTCCTTAATCAATGAAGCATTATCACTAGACGGTTTTCAGTTTTCTGAATAGAGTGGATTCCTTTTTATTCCCCCCACTTGGCCAATCTAAAATAATCAATGCTGATTTCGCTTTCTCATCTAGATTTCAAGAAATAAACCAAATCTTCCCTGCAGAATGTGCTGACGTACCTCACGGGTGGCTTCCTCAACACTGGTCCAGGAATGAGATCTTCAGAAATGCAGGAAACAAATGCCTATATTGAGAAGGAAGATAAATCAGTAAAGTTCCAGAAACAGAACTGCAAATGAAGATTCTATAGCCTGGAGATGGAATGGAAAGGAAGACAGCACTCCTTACAGTGCTCACCAACTTGGCTGGTGTGGGGAGAGACTACCAGGCAGAGGGGTTGCACAATCAGTGGAAACTCCTCCCATCAGAGTCCTTTCAACACATCTTTGGGTTTTCTAATACCAGAGTAATAAATCAGTAATATCTTACTCTTCCTGAAAAAATTAAGCTGTATTTCCCGATATTTAGAAAAAAGTACATTTGAGAAAGTACCAATTTTAGAATTTTATTATCTTGAAGGCTGAGTTGTGAATTGTTGAAAGGAAATGAATGACGTACCCACTCCTCTCTCTTCCTTCATAGCTTTGCTATTTATATATGTAATTTCCCTATTTGCTTGTAATCTTTTGTCTAGTGTTGTAAGATAGTAATTTGTTTATTTCTCTAGATGATTTTTGTTTTACTTATGTACATGTAACCTGTTTTATACCCTCGTTTTTGGAAGCACCACTTTTTGCTCTGTGAAGTTTTATTTGATGCATTTAGTTTTTTCTAGTATTTGTTGCCAAGCATTCTTTTGTTGAAATGTGCTACAGTAGGGAAGTTTAGTATGAGTGCATGTCAGAACATCACGTTGTGATACGATGTACTCTCCAAAACAAGGATTTTTTTTCTTATGTCTATTTATCAAAGTCTTTGAACATCCTCTCTCCTGAATTTTTTTATTATCAGTTTATGATACAGTTCCATAGTCCCTTGGGTTTCCCTTATGCCCTGCATAATTCCCTCCCCCTCTCTCTGAGCTCCTCTATATCAATACTGTGGTATAGTTCTTCATAGACAGTCATATGTGCATCACTGCGGGCATGGACAATGGCAGACAGTCCAAGATCCTAGTCTCAAGATATAGTAAACAGTTTCATTGGGAGTCCACCTTTATCTGGAAGTAGAGTTACATACTGCATTGTATCCTCTCCTCTGGATATGATAGTCTCCATTATGCATTTACTATACATCCCCTTAATGAAAAGCCACAATGCAAAATCAACAACAGGAAGAAAAATAGAAATTTGTAATGCCATGAAGTAAAATAACATGCTGCTAGATATGACAGCTTCCATTACACAGTTACTACACATCCCCTTAAAGGAAAAGTCATGAAACATAATCAACAACAGGAAGAAAAAAAATAAACAACACCATGAAGTTAACTAACATGTGATTGAATGACTAATGTGTCACTGAAGAAATGAAAAAGAAAATCCAGAACCTTCTTGAAGAAAATGATGGTACTGTATGATCTATGTGTCATTGAATAATCTAATCAGAAGAAAATGTTTTCAAGAGAAGAAACCAACAAAAATAATCAAAATTCCTGAGATAGTTTGTGCTGGGAAAGAATTGGGACACAGCATCTAGGAGGGGCACAAAACTCACAACAGGCTTGAGCAAGAGTGATCTTCACCACTATGCATGATAATCAAGCGTTTTTCATTCAAACATAAAGAAAAGATCTTTAGGGCCCGGTGGTGTGGCCTAGTGGCTAAAGTCCTTGCCTTGAATGCACCAAGATCCCATATGGGCACCAGTTCTAATCCAGGCAGCTCTACTTCCCATCCAGCTCCCTGATTGTGGCCCGGGGAAGCAGTCAAGTACAACCCAAAGCCTTGGAACCCTGCACCCATGTGGGATACCTGGAAGAAGTTCTTGGATTCTGGCTTCGGATCAGCATAGTACTGGCCATTGAGCTCACTTGGGAGTGAATCATCGGAAGAAAGATCTTCTTCTCTGTCTCTTCTCCTCTCTATATATCTGACTTTCCAATAAATAAATAAATCTTAAAAAAAAAAAGATCTCTAAATGTGCACATGAAAAAAAATCAACTGACAGGAAATATCTTCCAATTCTGAGATGCTTTCTTCTGCCTCCTTCATTCTAGTTTGGAGACTGTCTACTGTGCTTTTAATTTGCTCCACTGTATTCTTCATTTCTGATATATCAGCTTTCCTTAGATTCATTTCCAGTGTGACATATTCCTTGAATTCCTTGAATGCCTGCTTTACATGCTTCTTGTTGTTGATAAGAAGCTTTATAACAAGTGTTTTGAATGCTGTATTCTCCATTTTCTCGATGCCTTCCTCAGTTAACTCTGAGTTTGGCAATGGTTTTTGTCCCTCTGCAGTGCAGTTTTCAGTAAGAAACATTGTGCGTCTGTCTCTTCTTTTGCTCTTGGTCATTGTGCTTCTAGTTATCAGATTCTTCTCCTTGGGGCAGGTTTTATAAGCTGTGTCATCCACACGTGTACAGTTCAATTTTACTTACTGCAGTTCAAACACAGCTGTTTGTTTGTAATCACTTGTGCCACTACCTCCAGCGAATTCCAGGTCTGGGTTCTTATGTTCAACTTACAGCATCACCTCCATAGTACCAGCTCTTGACTCAACAGTCTCCACATGCTGTGATACCATGATAAGCCTGCACCACTTTCTCCCCCTTCCGGCTGGAGCAGGTCCCAGGATTAGGGAGATACCAGGTGTCCTATATAGCTAGGTTATTGTTGGTACTGATCTTGCCAGAACTAGTTGGCTGTTTGGTTTTAGGGACACATGGACCTATTTTGACCCATAGGATGCCATAGTCAATATTATTTTCCTGTGGGACCAGTGCAATGCACTGAGCTCAGTGAGTTCTCCCCAAGCTCAGCACATGTGTAGCTCACTGTTGTCCCTGTAGTCTTAAAGTTTTTCACATTGTGCAAAATGGTGTCCGATTCGGCTCTAGGGTGCTGACTGGGTTGTGAATTCCACCCTTTTCCTGCACTGTTCATCTGAGGCCTGCTGCTCTGTCTCTTCTCCTGGTCAAATCAAACACAACAGCAGGACAGGCAATTCATTGTCTGAGTTTAGCTCCTGAGCTCCTGGTAAACGTCCTTTACCACCTTCTTTGGTGGATTTCCGGCTGTTGGTGGAGTTTAGATTGTGGCTGTCTGAATGCCGCTGGAGTATCAGTCACTGCAACACCACACTGTTGTGTCTGCTGCTTTCCTGTATCTGTCCTGAGTCTGTCCGTGGGAAGCCAGAGAGCAAGCAGGTACTGGGGAGGCAAAGAAAGGAGAGTACTAGAGCGATAGAAGCACGTGATCAAGAGCATCTCCTCCAATTTGAAGAATCAGATATTGCAGTCTACATGGTTTGGGGAAGTTAGATCTTTGAGATTCATCTGATTATTTCTCCCAATAAAGAAATAACAATCTGTTAGGAGCCACAGACTTATGGGCCTACCTGACAGCCTGTTGCATTGCAAAGCGTGCCTTGGGCAAGTAGGGCCACAGCAAGCAGGATATTAGGCTGGAACATCCTGTGTAAAACAAGCAGAATACCTCCATCCTTGTTCCTGTTCAGATCATTAGTTCCTCCCCTGTTTCAATATAGATTACTTCCTCCCCTGTTTCCATACAGATGATTAGTTCCTTCTCTGCTTCAATGAAGATAATTAGTTCCAGGAAACCCTCCCTAACCCCTCCTCTTCACCTCCTCCCCTAGAGAAGAAGGTATATATATGAGGAGTAAAATAAAGAATGAGAGGCACTCTTTTCCACCAAGTATGTGTGTCCGTGTGTGTCTTGGGCCAGCAGCCAGGGGGCTAGCAGCCCGGCATTCCCAGTCCACCCTCAGTGTTTGAGCACCCTGTCCTGCAAGTTGGGACAGCAAACCAAGAGAGTATGAAAATATTACAGTCATGCATGTGAAGAACTGTGTTTGTGAAACTGAGACATTTTCAACGACATGCATGTATTTTTTTCATGTTTTATAAAGTGCTGGTAATACCAAGGAATAGAATTTTTCTGTGAGCAAGTGCTTTTTCTTCAATTGATTTCAAGGTAATTTTCATTTCGTGATCTTGTCTTTTACTCAGATGCCTCTCTGCCTATCAAGATACCTGTTACTGGCAAAGCTCAATGGGTTCTTTCCTCAGTTTAACACAGAAATAAGAAGCTGAGAAAAGCAGAAGACGGGTATAATTTGTAAAGTGAACAAGAGAATGTGAAAGGATGAGGAAAGGGGGCAACTCCTGGGAGGAGGCCAGGAGATACAGTGTCTCCTGAAGGGAGAGAGGGAGAGACACTGGCTTTCCGGAAGTGTCTTGCAAATTTTTAAAATGCTGTGTTGCTCAGCTGGGTTGGAAACCCTTTGTGGCAAGCCAACCAGAAGGCTTACCTATGAAGACCTTCCTCATTGGTATTCCATAATCAGTCAGGGAATGGATGGGCAATGCCTGTGCTTTCCACTCGAAAGTGTTATTTTCCTGGTGACATGGTGACTGACAGTGAGGCGGCTGAAATTGGTGAGCTTTTCTCAAACTCAATCTCCTTCTCATTGAGGTGTCAGGGTTGTCAGGGTTGTCAGGGTTTAAGCAGCACCCTGTTTGTTAATACATGAGGTACATGCACACACATGGTGCAGTGAGATGGTGGCCCAGGGGAATGACCCCACGTGGCTTGCCCTAGACCTGACACAGGATTTGGACGACATGGTTAGTCTCACTCTCTGTGCACCTTCCAGCCAGAAAGCTCTTCTTTGAGAACCAGTCTCAGAATGTATGATCATGAAAATGTGTTTTCTATTTTTCCTGGCCTATGCTTTGATAGCACAGATCTATTATCTTTCTAAGTGAAAGATTAGAATAAAAAAAGAACAGTTTTCATGTGCTAAATATAACTCATAACATTCTGATTTCCATAATTCTACCACCCAGGAATCCAAAACTAATTTCCACCTGGTGATCGATCTTGTTACAAACTAAGTATCTTGATGTGTCTGTGTAAGTGAAAAAACTCATGGGATTTATTTAGCCTGGGCCTTAGACCTGGCAGACTAGCTATTGAGGTGTATGTCAAAAGTAGAGGAATCACTGGAGCTTCAAAGGAGAGGATAAGGAATCAATGAAGTCTTGAACTTAGAGAATGAATATCTCATGAATGAAGGTCAGCAGAAAATGAAATATTTGCTTCTCTATCAAGAAATATAACTCCAGTTAGTCACTTGGAGACTGGATCAGTTTTGGCCCCATAATTTTGGCCTGCCTCCCAGAAAAGAGGAATTATGAAAACAGAGCTGAGACTCCACCCACTAGGGTTCTTAGCTTTCGATTTCCTCAGCAGGAGAGACAAGACTTGTTGCTTCTCGTACTTGCATTAGTCATCATAAAAGATCAGAGCTGAGTTTTCTCTACAATGATTTTGTTGTTACAAATATCTGTAGTTAAAAGGAGCTACATTAGAACTTTTAAGATGCTCTTCAATGAGGGTAGAGAGTGGGATGAAGGAGGTTGGACAAGATCCCAATCCAAAACCCGGCACAAAGGCACACACTATGAACACCTCGGATCACCAAAGTATGTGATATGAACGTTCTGTCATCTTCTCAGGAAACAACATGTCAATTAAATACTGAAATAAAAAGTGGTCAGAAAGAAAGGCTTTTGAATCCATATACTGTAGTTGAACTTTTAATATATAACAAGAAACTTGTACATGTTTATGATGCACAATGTGATATTTAATACATCTCTATACTGAATTCATCTCCTTCAACATGTAATGCTTCTTCTAATGTGCTTGTCTCAAAAAATATACTTATCTTAATTCTATGTTCCATGAGCTTTATAAATGGATGTTATCATTGATTAACTATTTAAAAGACAGCTCAGTTTTAACAGTAATTTATTCATTTAAATGACATCGACTTAGAGCGTTTTCCATTTCCTCTTCAGGAGTCTGGTTTAAATTGGAGTCCACGGGTGTATTCCTGCGTTGTTGTCCTTTGATGACCTTGAAGAAGAGATAAAAGACACACTGAAATCACAACAATGTGCAAAGCTCAGCTTTCATGCCCAACTACCAGTTTTTCCCCACAGGCTACACAGGCTCTTCTCTCAAGAAGGGCTCTTTCTCTCATTCATTTTCTCTCACAGCACCTTTTGAGTGACACATTTGTCATCATCTAGAGCCTGAAAAAAGAGGTTTGTTTTTTACATCTGGTATTTGAATCCAGTATCTAGCTGTTTGAAAAGAACCAGATTTCTTCAAGTAAGATCAAAGGAACAATTAAAAAAGAGAATAATTTATGCCATCCATGTGAAGCACTGACTGTGTAAGAAAAAGGAAAATTGTCAATATAAGGCATTGTGTTCTCTATTCTATTGCTTAGGATTAGCAGGTGGATATAAAATACAAGGAATCTTGCATTAGGACATCTGAGAAGTAGAACAGCTAATATATATGTGTGTGTGTGTGTGTGTCTTTTTGTGTGTGCGCGCGTGTGTCTCTGAATATAGGAATATGTCAGCATTGAATCATTTGAATCAACACTTGAATATTGGGACTTAAATTTAGCTTTGATTTGTACTATCAAGAATACCATATGCAGGTCCAGTGCTGTGGCTCAGTGGATTAAGGCAGCCAGTACCTGCCTATGCCAGCATCCTGTTTAAACACCAGCTCAAGTCCTAGCTCCAAGTCTCTGATTCAGCTGCCTGTGTATGAGTTCTTGGACCCTTGCCATTCACATGGGAGACACAGACAGAGTCCCTGGCTCCTGGGTTCATCCTGGCCCAGCTCCAGCTATTGCAGCCATCTAGGGAATTAACCAGCAGGTAGAAGATGTCTCTGTCTCTCCTCTCTGTAATTCTTCCTTCCAAATCAATAAAATGAAACTTAGAAAACAAAAATAAAAGAACCACAGAGTAGACTTGTTTAGATGTGACTATGTGAGTGTTTTTGAGTATCAACGACATCACAATGTCATGTAGATTGTGTCTTAGCTTTCTCTTGTGAGTTGCGATGTGCATCTCATTAGAGAGTAGTAGTATTTGATTTTAGATACAAACTTCCAAGAGACTGGGACCCTTTGGTTATTTGTTTCTATCATGAGATATTTGGCTCCTTTTCCCCAAGAGCTCTATTTTGATGCTATTGATATGTATTTCCCATATGAAGTTTTCCAGCCACACCTAAATATACATCAGTCTGTTTACATGACTCCATCCCACTGCCTACTCTTACTCATTTTGCATAAGGACCCGCCTCCTGGGAAGGGCATCCTCATCTGAATTCAATCATAGCATGTACTGGTTGTGTGGTAGGGCACAGTACTTAGTTTTATTGACCATCAGGATCTATACTTTTGCAATGCGGGTAATGATTACAGCTCCATCATTGTATGAGTTCCAAGCACACATTGAGTGCTCCACAGAGGATTTCTAATTATCATATCATTATTTACTTCAGACAATTTTTTCAAGCTCATAACTTTAACATGTATCCCTAGACTCAAAATATAACAGACACACATGTGCAATCTATAGGACAAACCAAGTTTTTGTCCTAATTCTGTATCTCTAGATCAATGTAAAGCTGTATCCCGGATACTTTACAGAATGTCAGCTTGTCCAGAACAGAACATGTGTTTTCTTGTACCACCTGGAATTTCTCCAATGCTTCCCAAATCTATTTAAGTATTTTAAAATTTAGGACAACCGTTGCATTAATCTTCAGCCTGTGTGAATATTTATTCAATAACATCTCTTAGAACTCATCTGCTGATGGCCCAAATGATTGGGCCCCTGCCACTCATTTGGAAACCCAAATGGAGTTTCTGGCTCCTGGCTTCTGAGTCCCAGACCTGGATGTTCACAGCATGTGGAGAGTGAACCAGCAGATTGAAGATCAGATCCCCCTCATTCTCATTGCATTTCAAAAAAATGATAAATAAATTTGCAAAAACTAAAACAAAATAAAAAAAATCACTGCTTAGTAATAAGTGTAACACTATTGCTTGAACTCTCCTTATATTTGTTTCCCAGATCTAAACATAAGAATTCATCTTTTGCAAGCTCATTTTCCTGTCTAGTTCTCACCTTAATGAAACTGTGAGTTCCAGATTTCAGCTTCGTAGTCTTATTCCTGATTTTCAGTTGAAAGCAGAAGAGGTGAAGTGTATCACCTTCATCACATTGCATGTTGTAGCATTGTCCACTTGCCTCAACCTCCATCTTTCCTGTTTCATCTTCTATTTCATAAGTTGTGGTCGTCCTTCTCACTGTTTTCTAAAAAACAAAATATTCAGCTCCTGTCATATTTGAGAATCTAAAAACATAAGCAATCAATTGCAGGTACAGACATATATGTGGCTTTGACAAGTTTCTCTAATTCTTCTTCCTCTTCTTCTTTTTTCTTATTCAAGTATTTTTCTGCACTGGAATTCTAGAATGAGAATGTTTTCTATTTTCCATGCTTCCTTCAGATGAAATGTTTTAACTTCTTCTAAAGGACCTGGCATCAGAGGAATTATGACAAGTTGGTAGATTTCTTTGGCCCCTCTTTTTATGCATAAGTTAATGAAAATGTGTTACTGTTATGAATTCACTCAACATATTATGGGGAATTTATTTAACAAGCAATGTTCCAGTACTTAAGTAATTCCTTTCTAACCTCTTCACTGACGTACTGATTTATGTATCTCAAGTTACATGATATGGTATTTCATCTGCTACCCTTATCAATTTATAGCAACATTTAGAAATTTGATCTCTTGAAAAGGTAAAGGTTATAAAATGAAGATGCTACACTGAAATAAAGATATATAGTTATGAAGCAGTAAGTTATATAATTGAATGAATTCATAAAAGTTTATGAAGTTTTGCATTGATTGAATGTATCATATAAATAGCATGATTGGGGCAGTGAGATGTTAACCAAAATTTCTATTTTTCTATGCTTGTTTTTGGTAAATGAGAAGGTTACAAAAATGCTAATTATTGTGACATAAAATATTTCTTAGTTTTTCCATAAATCCTTCTTAAACCAAAAATTAATTGAATAAGCAGACAGTGTAATGGCTAGATCGTTTGCCGAAGTATTGTATAAGTGTGTGTATCCAAGAGCATGTCATTCAATCTGTTTATTATTATGAGTACATACCATAAACAGAATTCTTCATTAGTGAAATCAATTCTTCAGGAGAAAAAGAAAATGATGATTATACAGTTGCAGTGGTGCTCAGGAAACATGGTAATTAGCATCAACATACTGTAGGCATATCTTTGCTGGAGTTAGGTTTCTTAGTCAATATATTTTAGATAACTTACACAAAGGGTGTCTGGGGGAGCGGAATACAACAGACTACCTAATCCTATTTCTTATTGTGTGGGAAAATTTAACTATGTTTTTATGCATAAGACAATATCTTGAGTTTTAATATTCAGTCAAAACTCAAATGAGTCCCAATACTCAGTACAAAGCTTGGCAGAAACAGCAAAAACCAGACCAAACTAAGCCAACAACAACAACAGCAAAACGCAAACCAAACCCTCCCACCTCAACCCCCTCCCCCCAAATTGTGATTACCTTGCTCAGCTTGAATGACCCATTCACTATTGTTCCTGTTGTTTGTCTTTGGAGTTCTTCAATTTGGTGGCTTGTAGTTGCTCTACGCTTAATTTCTTGAGGGACCTCTATGTTTTGATCAGGACCAGCTTTAGACACAGATGATGTCTCAGTTATCTCCAGGATTTCTTTTTCTTTGAAGTAATTGGAGATAATAATGACGTTATCTTTCATGAACATCTCTTTCAGTCTGGTGTCAAACACCTTCACTCGGAAAAGCTCAGTCTCAGTAGCCACTGTTGCATGAAACATTTTGCCTTTCTCGTCTTTTGAAATCTCATAATCAAATGGATCTGTTTCTTCCAGGACCATCACTGTTTTGGGGTCCTTTTGTTGCATGCTTTCTCTGGCAGCCGACTTCCGGGGACTTTTCTGTGTCAAACAGACAGAAGAAAATAAACTTAACACTTTGGGGCAGAGAATGCAAAGTCATTTTCCTATGAGAGAAAACTCACTAATAATAATACTGGTTCCAGTAAGTGTTGGAGAAACTTAGAGCAAGATGGATTACTCAATAGGGAAGAAGAACCCAGGATGAGTATAATTTTTAGCTAGAAAAAGTATAAGACAGCAGATAACAATCAAAATTTGCAATAGTGTCACTGAAACAGAATAAGCTCTTTGAAACAAGAGATGATTCTCTGCATGCATAGCGTAAGGTGGTGGGTGATGCTCATTTTAATGAGTTACTTAAGTGAAAAGGCACAATACAAAAATACATATGTTGCAACCCACTTAACAATACCACAAATCACAAATGGCAAAGGCTTCTGGTTACCAGTGGACTATCTGGGCCATTTTGAGAGATCCCTTTTCCCAATAAATAGTGGTGTGATTTAAGTGATCAGAAAGACATGGATTGTTTCAAACTCTGTCATTTAAAAGAGACTCAGGTACAGACACTGGGGTTAAAGCCACATTCATAAACATGAATAGGGACTTTTCCCACAAAAATAAGTTTGGAAAATCAGAAACAGACTTATACCCCTCAATCTTCCTTTCTCCACAATATTCTGGCTCATTGATTTAGAGCAGAGTACGTTAATCGAAGAAGTATGCTGACCCTGAGAGAGAAAGTGTGAGGCCAAGGTAGATTATGAACTTTGCATGTATAAGCATTTGGAGAAGTACTCGCTGTCTCACTGTGGTCTGAACTGTGTTTCTACCCAAAATAATCTCCGGTGGTTGAAGGACTTCACTTGGATCAGACGAAAGTTTCATCAATGTAAACAATTATCAACACACAAGAAAAACTTTGGAAAAGCAATATAGTTGATTTTGTGGATGCATATCTAAGACGACATTAATAACTATGAGGTTCAAATTGACAAGAAACCTGCAGATTATTCACAGAAGAAATGACACAGATATTCTGAAGGACACAGAAAGAGCCCCAAAGGACACAAAGCCAGGGATATTGAGTTGGTCGTTTAGAATGGGATTCTAGCATGACAATCAATGTAGAATTATTTATTAAGAAAATATTTTATATTGATGAAATTCAGCATCATATACTTATTAGATGATCACTTATACTTTATAATTTTTGAAGTTGAGTATGACATGCTAAGTGAATAAGATAATCAACATTGATAATTGTGGAAGATCATATTGAGAAAACTTAGTAAGTGATCACGAACATAATTATTTGGAATAACACAATGTGACAATATTTGATTAGTATATATCCTGATAATGAAGTAAATTATTTGTGAGGTTTTATTTTAAAAGCAGAGAGAAACATAAAGTCAGAGATGGAGAGAGGTATCTTTCATGCTCTAGTTCACTTCCCAAATGCATGCAAGAGCCACGTCAAACCTGGGGTCAGGAACTCAGTGTGGGTCTGTCAGGTGAGTGCAGGCACCCCAGAACCCTAGCCAGCATCTGCTTTATTGTTGTGCATTAGTAGAAAGTTAGGTTGGAAGCAGAGTAAGTTGGGCCTCAAACATGGCATTCTGATACCAGCAGCAGTATGTCTCAAGCAGTGATCTAACTGCTTCATTAAATGCTCATCTCCAAATGAAAAATTTTTTTTGCTGACATTTTCCCATGTTAATGTAGTATTAAAACAGAAAGAACAGAGTCACTGTAGTTCACACACAATTCTGAGAACACATGGATTTTCATTTGGATAATTGGTTATAGACATTTTCTTAAGTTTCTAAAATAAACATGTTTCATTTGTGCTAAAAACAAAATAAACAATGGAAGCCTGAAAGTGAGGCTGAGTGTATGAGGGAATATTGGATTGTACTTTGAATTGCTTGTTGTGACTTTCTCACTGTGACTCTGCAATATTTTCCTGTAGTACAGATGTCAGGGAGGACAAGACTTCATTCTCTGGAATGAGAAGCACTGACTTTTCCATGTGTTATCAGACAGACTTTTGTGTCACATGTAACAGTAAAGTGCCAAATCTACTCTGAAGGCAACAGAAAACAAGAATGAACCTGAAGGTTGAAGCTCCAGCCCACGGCCTGTCATGTAAAGCTATTTTTGTGTAGTTTTACACATTTTTTCACTCAATTTTTAAAACTTCGACACAATTTTTCCTAGATCCTTCAATTCTCCCTTTTTATCTTCTACTTTATCTGTTGCTAATTTATAGATGGCCCTTTATTCTTGTGAAGTTTTATTTTAGTGCTTCCAGGTACTGACAAGAGGGTCTGGTCTACCTGGTATCACAGGACAAACAGGACAGCCATACTCTTACAATACACAGTGAAGTGGGGACACACATTCAATAGTTTATAGTTGTCAGAACTGTAGGAGGACAACCGATCAGATCTGTAAGAAAATAATTGGTTAAAGAAAGGACGTTGGGAATCCTTGCCTGTGTGGAGCCAGAGCTAGTTGTGATTCTGCTGGAAAGACCCTGGGAGCAGTTACTATGGAAATGACCAGGCATGAAACTCCTTCATCCTCAGATAGTGGATTATCCTCAGATAGTAAATTAGATAGATGAGATAGTAGATTAGATAGATGAAATAGTGGATTAGATAGTAGATAGTAGATGAAAGAGAGGTGCTTTCTCCAAGCTGGGGAACAGAAATGAACAGACTGAGGAAAGGAACCTGCTAGATAAACAAATTGTGTAGGAGGAGACTCCTTGTTACTGTTGAAAAGTAAATTCCTCAAACACCCTTCTGCCGGGGACCAGAGAACTGCGGAACAGCAGGAGTGACTCCATTTTGTTATTTCCTCACTTTGTAATGGTCTTGGAATGCTAGATCCAGTTATCTTTCACCCAGTTTCCTCGTAATCTTTCACCTGTAATTGTTCACCCAAGATAACGGTTGTCCTGGTGATCTCTGCCCTATCTGGCCCACATCCTGCTGTAAAACTCCCCCCACCCAGCCTTAACCTGCGGCTTAAATACTGCCTGAGAAAATAAAGTTTTCGGAGCTTGATCAGACCTCCTGTCTTGCTCCCATTCTTCGTGTCTCCTGTTCCCCCCCAATCGTCGGTTCTCTCCCCAGGTCTCCGTTGAAGACCCCGCGGGCCGGGGCACTTGGCGCCCAACGTGGGGCCTGGGGAACGGGCCCCCCGACGATCGTCCGCCTTCCCACGGCCGTGGACACTTGAACCGCCGCGAGAGTAATCGTGAGTGAAGGTTCGCGTGAGCCGCCGCGGGAGCGCCTAGTGAGTGAAGGTTCGGATAGAGCCGCCGCGAAAGCGTCTCGTGAGTGAAGGCTCGCATTGTGATTGCCGCAGGAGCACCCGACCTGAAGGCTGATCCGGAGGTAAATTGGCGTGACGCAATGGGACAGGCATTAAATAAGCATGACTTATTTAGGGCCTCAAGGAGGCCATCAAGGCACGAAGAATTAGGGTTAAGAGAAAAGAAACTTGGCTGGTAAACAGCTTCAGCGCAGCATCTTCCAAGAGAAGCACATTGTCAGAGAAGTGGTGGCTCTAGGTGAGCCTCAAAGAAAAGATGACATTAGGTACAGTATTCCTCCTCTCGAACGGGAGTGTACCCTGCGGAAGTGACCCTTGGCACCCCGCAGCTCTGCACGAACGTGGGGACCCCCCGGCCACGGCGTAGCTACGGTCGAATCCCCTGAGAGGTTGTAAGGGAAGGGAGGTGTTAGGTGTCCAATTGGCTTCTTTTCTATCCTCTCATCTTCTGCTTGAGAGATGGCCGTGGATGCGTGGCTCTGGGGTGAACCTGTCTGAGGACTGACGGTTTCTGGCCGAGGCAACACTTCGGTGTCACCCGAAACTCTGCAGGGGATCCCCTGGGCCCGACAGCCCGACTGGGTATCCGAGTGCCACTCTCCTCTCTGCTGTCTTTCTTAAGCCATAGGCAATAATGGTGGGGAAATTGATGATCCCGCGCTTAAGGCGCTAACATACATTCTGAAGTTCTGAGGGTTAGAAATCTCAGATGCTCAGGCAGTCAAGGTCTGAGGGACTGTTGTCAGATTGGCACCGTGGTTAACATTGCTTAATTTATTTGCCTGTAATACTTTGAAACTGGAGAGCAAAGCTGGCCCTGAACCACCTTAGCCACCCCAACAAGAGCTTCTGGGAAGCTCAGAGAGCAGGAAACCACCCCCAGTTTTAGGGGAGTCGAGAACACAGCCCCAGGTGCAAGCCTTCTAGCTAGTGGGGTTCCTCCAGCCAGTCCAGGATTTTCCCATTGTTAACCATGAAGGGAACCGCCCAGCGGCGTGATATCCCTGGAATGCAGGAGATTTAAGAAAGCTGTGGCAGAAATGAGCCTAACTCACCCTGGGCCAAGACTAGTCTTTAGGGTCTTGCCCATAAACCCTGTATCCCGGCAGTTTGGATAATATTTTAGGAGCCTGTACAACTCAGGAAGTGCAAGTAGTCTGGGAAAAGGTAAAAGAGCTTTTAGAGAGAGCTAACATGAATGTCTCCTCAGAGAAGGTGCAAATGATCCCCTCTTTTTAAGATTTTAGGGACAGTATTATGTTTTGAAAAGGCCTCCCCCTTGAAACCCTAGCTAAGCGTTAAGGAATAATATTCACTAGTAGATTTTCAAAAGCTTCTTGGAGAGGTCAGTTGGCTATGCCATTGACTACCCATGTATACAGGACAATTACTTCCATTATTTGAAAAGGCAAAATGCTAGGAGACTGAGTTTCCCTCATCTACAAGCCTTACAGGAGACTCGAGAGGCCCTGAACAAGGCTACTTGCTCACTATTGTTCTAAGAAAGAGTTATAAGTGAGGACATTTTCAAATTCTTCCGTGCTTATGGCTGCCCTTGTCCAGGAGAGCAGTCCCCTCCAGTGGGTCCATTGATTCGTTGGAGAGGCGCCCAGAGTTAATACTTGCCCCTATCAACTGGAAGATCTAATTCAGGAGGTCAGAGAGCTAGCCCTTAGGTGTTAAGACTTTGA